AAATTTGTCTTAGTATGTGCCCGTGAGGAACAAGATCTGGACAGGAAGAGAGGAGCTTGTTTGTCATGATATGCCTTTTGTACAGTTAAAATTTGCCATGTGCCCCCAAATGCATGCCTTGAAATGTGATTTGCTTTTTTGTACCACACGCAAGGCTTTTCTAATAGATCAATTTATCTTCATGAAATCCTTGATCAAACCAGGAGACTGATATTTAGTTCAAATAGATGGATAGCCTTTGTTCAGTAAAGAAAAGCCTATTTATTCATGGACATGACGGGGAGGGAAACAACACCTTAGTGTTTTTTGTGTGTTTTTGTCAATGTTGTGGTTACACTTGTTGTGTTTCAGTCTTGATAGCTCTGAAATGGTATGACTGTGTCTCTACTCATCGACTGACTTCATAGGTCCGTACTCTTCAAGGCCTGTGGCCAATCCATGTCATCGAACAGGGTGAAGCCTGCTGGCACGTAACCCAGAGCGACCTAGTTTTCCTGAGTGTCTTCAGGGACCCAGTCAAATGGATGACACGGACCCAAAGAGCTTGGGCCAGGCCAGGCCAGCAGGAGGGAGAGAGGGAACCTCACCAGGTGGCCGTTCTGCTTGCTTTAGCTGGCTCCTCCCTTCACAGTGACTACCATCAGTGACAACACAGTTCCGCTCCCAGCCTCCTTCGCCTCAGGTGTCCTCACCTGAAGCCCACCTCTAATCTATGGAGAGATGCTTGGGTCATTCTAGCGGGCGGGAGGATGCAAAGAAATAAGGACAGGTGGTGTAAGCAACAGAAAATTCTACGTTTAATAACAATAGCATTTTACCTTAAAATTACCCAAGACTAAACTACATTGATCAGCTCCCAAATCCTAGTCCAAGAAGGCCTAGGGTTCTGCTGCACTGGGGTCTGGGATGGGAATTGGAAATCTACATTTTTAAGACACTCCCTGGGTAATTCTGATGGGCAGCCAGGCTTGGCAAACACAGGTATAAATTACTCAGTTACACCCAAATTATTGTGAACCATATAACAGTCTAATAAATTTGGATGTGTCCCTTTGAGAGGAAAAAAAGTCCTCAGGAAAAATTGTTATCATAAAGAAATTAAATTAATCCTCAAGAGTGAGTAAATGAATCCCAGTAAACAAATCATAGTCACCGCATTCAGTAAAATTGTCTAATCAATAATGAAATAAGCAGAGATAGGACACTTTAAAGCCTGCAGGAGATATTATAATTCAAACACTAGCCTAGATCTGATAAATATTTTATAGGCAATCAATTTTATTTCATTCTACTTGAGAAATGAGTAAGGGCCCACGTTCCTATTTAGCAACATCAGGTTTTTTAATGGAATTGGGGGGAAACAGGGTTAGTGACTATGTGACCCTCTCTTTCAAGGTAAGTATTATCAACCTCACAGCTAAAAGCCACCAGGCCACTTTCTCTCCTCAAGGCAGGCCAGGTCACGTGGTTGTGGGCTCTGGCTCTGAACTGCAGTTGCGAGCCATCTGTGCAGAGCAATGGCCCTGGGAAACGTCCCTGCTCCCAGGAAAGGCCAAGTCTGTGGATGTCTGGTGCTGGCAGGACCCAGTCCTGGTCCTTCCTCCTCAATCCCTCCTGCAGAGAGCCTTGCAAAACCTCAGGTTCTTTTCCTTCATCAACCTAAGGACCACAATAAATGTTTAACAAGCTCCCGGGGGGGTTCTGATATCGACTAACATTTGAGAACTTGAATGGTAGTTGTTCCAGAAAACCCCCAATCACCTAATTTGCCCTTCTTGCAAACATAATGCCACATCTACTGTAAATGAACAACAGTATTGCCATCATCTTGTAAAAATATATCACTTATGTCTTAGAAAAACGTTTAATTACTTAACTGTCTTTTCTCTGAGCACTTTTTAGTTTTGAGCTCCGGATCGCCAAACTGAAGTCAGTCCTAAACTCTTCTTGACCAGCACTAACATCAAAAGGACTTCACTGTGATCCAGCTCAGCTGAGCCATTTTCACATTCATTATCCGTCTGTCATTGCCAAGGAACTATCAGTGGCATTGAGGATAACTTTCCACACTGACCAAAGATCAGGGTTCATTGAGCCACAAGGCATGTTTGGGGACCACAGGCATCATTCAGCCTCCTTCTCCTGCCTGTCCCCTGGGAAAGGTGGGCAGGAGAAACCCTCCAAAGCCTCTGTGAAGCAAGGGGTACCCAGGCCCTTGCCCCTGACCATGTGAAAAACTTCCACATCACCATGCCTTTTCCTTTAAAGTTCAGAATGACTTTCCCTGCCTGCCACACCCACAAACTCCTATTCATCCTTCAAGTTCCAGCTCAGAAGTAGCGAGACGAAAAATAATCATAAAGCAGGGTTCCCTCTTCTGTTCTGTCCTAGCATGCCATAATTTTCCTTTATAGCACTCATCAAAGTCTCTAATGACATATTTATGTGATTATTTTATCACAGAAAGCTACATGAGGGTAGAGACCATCTGCTTTGCTCACACTTGTATTTATAGCCTATTACCATGTCCGGCACATAGTAAATACTCAATACTATGAAGTGAAAAAATTAATAGGTTTACATTTTTTTAATATACTAGAGGCCCAGTGCACGAATTCGTGCACAGTTGGGTCCAGCCGGCCCTCCCTGATCAGGGTGGGGGGGGTGATCGGAGGTGGGGCCACAGGCAGTTGGCCAGCTGGCCCCACTCCCTGGTCAAACTCCTGGTAGAACTCTGGGTCGAGGGGACAATTTGCATATTAGCCTTTTATTATATAGGATATTTTTATTTATTTCAGCGAGGAAGGGAGAGGGAGTGAAAGAAAGAAACATCAATGATGAGAATCATTGATCAGCTGCCTCCTGCATGCCCCACATTGAGGATCAAGTCTGCAACCTGGGCATGTGCCCTGACCGGGAATTGAACCGTGATCTCCTGGGTCATAAGTCAACACTCAACCACTGAGCCACACCTGTTGGGCGGTTTACATTTATTGAATACTTCCATTGTGTTCCCTCAGACTGGGCTGAGTGTTCCTGATACATGGTCAGTTTTTAATCTTTCCAACAACTCCCTGAGGTAGGTATTATTATTATTACCTCTAATGAATAAGATAAGAAACTTGAGGCTTATGAGGTTTCAAGAGTTTGTCACGGTCACACAGCTAAATGTGGTTGAAATATGAGTTTATCAACCTCTACAGCTTAGCTCTCAATCACAATACTATACACTTCCTATTTGAAACAGTCAACCTCCTTGACTGTGACCTCCTTGAACACCTTCAGATTAGAATTAGTTGTTTCCTTCATTGTTTCTTCTTATTTTCCGACGTCAACTATTCCCCTATTACCACACATCACATTGCATCATCAGGACTTAAATATGTATCGGTGAGCACCATGAGTGCATGGACCATACTTAACCCAACCAACAGGTCAAGTCTAACCACCTAGTCCATACCCAGGTGCAATTACCATACTGGACAATAAGTGCCCAATTAACCCCACACCAGACTCTCTCAATACATCATTGTTACTTCATAAAGAAAACAGATGCCGTTAGCGTTAGTGGACTAATTAACCAAGTGAACAAATAGAGAGCTCAGAGGCAGACCAACCACTGGTAGAAACTTGACATATGAGATTGGTGGCAATGAGAAAAGATTGGAGCCAGCATACACAGTTATTCATGTAAAAAGGAAGGAAATTAGACCCATGTCATCCACCATACAAAAAATTAATTCTTAATAGATTAAAGATCTCCATGTAAAAAACAGAACTTTCAAACATATAAAATGATAAGCAATTGCAATGCTAATCAGGGAAATAAAAATTAAGATTATGATAAGATAATCATTTTTAAACCACTAAATTAGAAACAATTAAGGAACTTGATTATACTGTTGTCAAATATATGGATCACTAGGAACTCTGGTAGGTATATATCTTACAAACCATTTTACAGAAAAGTTTGGCAATATCTAATAAGTTATGTTATAGTTATATAGTTATATAGTATGTTATATGCAGTTAGAAAAGTGAATGAACAGGTGTAGCCACTGCGGAAAACAGTACAATTCCACAAAACATGGAATTGCCATATGACCCAGCAATTCCACTTCTGGGTATATACCCAAAAGCAGTGAAATAAAGAACTTGAGCAAATATCTGTACACCCATGTTCATAGCATCCTTATTCACAAGAGCCAAAGGTGGAAGCAATCCAAGCATCCATCAATAGATGAATGGAGAAACAAAATGTTGGAGATATATATATATATATATATATATATATACATACACACACACTTTATACATGATATACTCAATATTATTCAGCTTTAAAAAGAAAATTCTGCTACATGCTACAACCTGGATGAACTTTGAAAACATTAAGCTAAATAAAATAAGCCAGTCACAAAAGGACAAATATTGTAGGATTCCACTTATATGAGGTGACTAGAATAGCCAAATTCATGGAGACAGAAAGTAAGAATAGAAGTTGTCAGGGGCCAAGGGGAAAGGTAACTGGGTAGTTAGTGTCTAATGGGTACAGAGTTTCAGTGGGGGAAGATGAAAAGGGAAGCTGGATGGTGGTGATGGTTACACTACAATATGAATGCACTTAATGCCACAAAACTATACACTTAAAAATGGTTAAAATGGTAAATTTTATGGTATGTATATTTTACCACAACTTTTTAAAATGAATGATCAATGTGTTTCTAGTATTGTTTGTTCACCGATTTGTTTTTGTCTCTGTTGTAGACAATGCTACCATGAACATTCTTTTCCATGTCTGATGGTACATACATGCAAGAGATACTGTAGAGTATATACCTAAACATGGAATTGCTGGGTAAACTATACTATGCCAAATTACTTTTCAAAATGGTTGTACTATTTGATATAAATTACATCATAAAATGATAATTTATAAACAGATGTTCAGGAAATGTTAAATTATAGCCAAAAGGAAGTACATGAATTTCTCAACTTACCCAACCATCTAGAAGTATACTGCCCAGAAAACAGGGCTCCATCCAGACAATAGCTGCCACATTTCATTCCTTTGCTGGGCATCCCTTAGCAGAACATTGGCTAACTGATGTCAGCAATGGTGGACCTCCAGGAGGGCAGAAGGTCTGGGAACTCTGAGGGAGGGAAAGCTGAATGAGATGGGGTACTGGTCTGGCAACGTGCTCATGGGCTCTTTGGAGAGTGTAGTTCATAAGCACAAATACTGCTCTTTGCTTGGCTAAAGGGTTGTTCTCCTCTCTGGGAAGTCCATTGTCTTTAAGTGAGAACCTCAGAAGGATCCAGACCCACAGAGTGAGCCTGGAAGAGGAAAACAGCAAGCTAGTGAACACAAGCAACCTAACTTCAACTATTAGAAAACCTTTCTTATAGCAATAGATTCATCCTAAGAAGTTCCAGAGAGCAAGCCAAAGTGTTAGAGGTCAAAGGGGAACTTTATAAACTTAGATCTGGGCAAGCACCCATGAGATAGGCTGCCTGTGAGGTCTTGGGCATATTCCACCATCTAGACTGTCAGAGTCCAGGACTGGAGGCTGGGGAAGCTAGAGGAGATGACAAAGGCCCTCCCCCGGTCTCTGCTGATGACTCAAATGCATCCAAGTGGTTGGCATCCACCCGCCAGTAACATGCTCAGTCAACATCTGAATTGGGTTTTCTGTCTCATTAGTCTATAACCCATTCTCATCTTACCACAACCCATATTACCCCCTTTTAACAAAAGTGTGCTCCCCAGAGAATTAAAACTACTGCCAAGGCTTAGGTTTGACTATTCATGAAGTAAGCCATGCAGTCCACTAGTAAAAAGCTACTTCAAGCAGATGCTTACATTGCCCCACCCCACCCCCCATATTCCAGACAGGTCATACTTGGCTGCCATCTTTTCAAGATTCTCTCCCACAAGTACTATAAAGAGCTTCCATATTCTGCAAACAAAAATTCTTCCATTACGTTTTTAAAAAGATTTGTTATTGAATTCATTGGGGGTGACATTGGTTAATAAAATTATATAGGTTTCAGGTGTACAATCCTAGAATACATCATCTGTATCTTGCACTGTGTGTTCACCACCCCAAGTCAAGTCTCCTCCATAACCCTCTACCCCACCTTTACCCTCTAGTGAAAGCCCACGGGTACTGAACTTAAAGATTTATATAAACAGCCGTGGGCAGATCTTTTGCGATACTGTCCTACACAGTCATGAAGAAGGCACCACAAATAAATCGGCTAAGTAGATGTCACTTTAAAACCACTGGATGTAGACTAAAGGCTGCTGAAATCAATACGGATGGACCCAAAACCCCATTGATACACTTTTAAAATCTACAACTGGCAATGTTTTAAATGTCGGGGCCACGGTATGTTATTTGGCAAGCTACACCAGGGACATCCGACGTCAGTCCACGTCCTGCCTGATGGTAGGAGAAAGGCCTCAAAAGTCCTCCCCCGCTGAGGGCACAGCCCCTGGGCGCTCTGCCCCATCTGGGTGGTGTCACTGTGAAATGGCCTGCTTCTGCTGCTGGCCCTGCGTCATATCTAATCTTGGCTCAGCACTTCAGTGGGTGCTGAGTCAGAACAGGTGCAGGAATTAGGTAACCACTTTGTACCCACATTTGAATATTTCAGCTCCTGAGCAAGTTGGCTCAGGTGTGCTTCCTCCTTTCATCTGCCATTAATCTTCCAGCCCGGATCGGCTGACAGCCCGGCATGACCTGAACGGGTTGCTTCATCGCTGTCATTTGATGAGTTGCGGACAGCGTGTTTGAAGCTGTCCTTTCATTGTCATGAGGCAACTTCTTTCTGTTGTGGAATCACTTCTCCCCTCAGAAGACATGGTTTGGGACCCTACCCTGAACCCCTGTCTGCAGACGGTCATCAAAGGGAGGCGTCATGTGTGTGGCCGCGGAAGCATCTCACCGCCTTTCTCCTCGCCGAGTGTGAGGCACCGAGGAGCAGCGCAGGCCCCTTAGACACTGAGCAGGGAAAATACTGTACTGTGTGCTGTGCACCCATACACAATGCATACACCATCACTCTCCTCCCCTTCCTCTCTTCTCCCCTACCTTCCTGTCTCTCTCTCTCTCTCTCTCTCTCTCTCTCTCTCTCTCTCAGCATTTATTACCCCAGACAAATTATTTGTCTGTTTCCCCCAAGTGCATTGCAAACTCCATTAGACCTGGGGCTTTGTTTTATTCACAGAAAAACGTTCTCCGAACAATGTGTGACACAGAGTAGATGCTCATTACTAGTAAATACTTAATGAATGCATGAATGACTGTAGGCCATACCAAAAACCTTTTAGGTAAGCGTGCCCATGTATCTTTGGGGCTGGAATATGTGTTTCCATTGTGGTCAAACACTGCCTCATTGGCTGGATCTCATTGAATTAGGCTAGGATGTCTGCAGCACAGCCCAATGCCTTGCAATGAGAAAAGATGTGCACCCCTGGTCCCTCCCAGCCTACGGGAGGGACCGCTGGAGGAGATGGCTTAGAGCCCTGTTGAGGCTGGGATGACTGCTCCTTTCCTGAGAAGAGCGAGATCGGATAAAGGCCCACCTGGGCGGCGGTGGCATCTGCTGTAAATAAACTCGGGAGAAATAAGAGAGCTGGATGGAGTGCGCTGGGGCCACAAGAATGATGCGGACTCAGATGCTACAGATGGTTCAAGGTTCCCAAATGAACATGCTTTTATTTTTATTTATTTATTTTAAAATATATTTTTATTTATTTCAGAGAGGGAGGAAGAGAGATAGAAACATCAATGATGAGAGAGAATCATTGATCGGCTGCCTCCTGCACGCCCTACACTGGAGATTGAGCCCGCAACCCGGGCATGTGCCCTGACCGGGAATCCAACCGAGACCTCCTGGTTCATAGTTCAACACCAAGCCACTGAGCCACACCGGTTGGGCTATTTTTATTTTTTCAAATGAGTATGTTTTCAGGAAGAGCTGGACCCACACAGATGGATTAGACACTGAGTGGCAAACATCCCACAGAGCAACACTCCCCAGGAAGGGAGCTGGGCCCTGAAAGCTGCCAAATGAATTTGAAAGAATTTCACTCCCACCCAAGATGACCTGGTGAATGCCTCTTCGGGTTGCTGTTCAAAGTGATCTGGGTTTCCTCCACAGGAAACCAGGTAGCTAAGACCCTTCTTTGGAACTCAGTTTAGGCAACTGACCATACATATGTCAGAAGTGGAGCTTTGTGTGTTGAACCTCAAACTGCAACAAAACTGAGTTTCCATATGTAATAGAAGGTTGTTTAGGACTAAAGGGTCCCAGGTTCGATTCGGACAAGTGCATGTACCTGGTTGCAGGCACATCCCCAGTAGGGAGTGTGCAGGAGGCAGCTGATAGATGTTTCTCTCTCATCGATGTTTCTAACTCTCTATCCCTCTCCCTTCCTCTCTGTAAAAAATCAATAAAATATATTTTATTTAAAAAAGAAGGGTGTTTATTTGCTTAAGAAACAGCATAGTATAATGAAACTGAAATAATGAAACTATATAAGGGGAACTGTATCTCGTTTTATCAGCTGCTCACTTCCTAAAACGCTGAGCAACAAAATAACTTGTTAATAATCTAATATTTAAATAAATTAAGTGATTCTGCTGATTAAAAGATTCCCTAGCCAGTTTGGCACAGTGGATAGAGCATCGGCCTGCAGACTGAAGGGTCCTGGGTTCGATTCCCATCAAGGGCACATGCCCAGGTTGCTGGCTCGATCCCTAGTAGGGGGCGTGCAGAAGGCAGCCAATCAATGATTCTCTCTCATCATTGATGTTTCTCTCTCTCCCTCTCTGTCTCCTCCTCTCTGAAATAAATAAAAAAATATCTTTTTAAAAAAAGATTCCTATGAGAAACACTTTGAATAAGTAAACAATCCTTTAGTCTAGCAGTTTCAAAACTGAAACACATTCCTATACTTCCAGTTTTCACATAGCAAAGTATCTCTTTAAATCAGCCAGCTCCTGGCCTGTAAGCCACCCTGCTGAATTTCTGTGTCAGTGATGCCAAGTAATCTCTTGGCTGTGAAAACATTCTCCGGCCGGCTCCCACAGACAAGGACAGATGGCATTCCAGTGAGGGTCTTCCCCTCACTCTTTGTTGTAGAAAATATTGACATTTTTGCAGGAAGCAGATCCAGGTTCACTTTCGTCCCAACTCATCTTGGCAATCATGAAGGTTTGGAGGTCTGTGGTTCCACAGAATTGGGAAAATGCACTTGCCACTGAATTTTAAAAGATCTATGTCAAGGAGAGTAATCTTCATATCTAATTGATGCTTGTAAAAGTCACAAAATAGCAAATAATACACTGTGATCACAAAGTACTTTCAAACGGAAATGAGACAGGATAGGAAGGCAGAGCGGAGATAGCTGAAGAAAAAGGCTCTCTGAAAAATTTTAAAGTATCAGATGAAGTTTTTTTTAAAGATCCTTTCTAATCTACAACAGCAAGGTTATATTAGTTTTACTCAGAAAATCAGAGACAATTTACTAAAATTCAAAACTTGGGTATACTGTTTAAAAAAACCAAACACTTAAAGCCCTAGCCAGGTTGGATCAGTGGGTGGAGTGTTGGCCTGTGGACTGAGGGTCCCAGGTTCGATTCCCGTCAAGGGCATGTGCCTTGGTTGCGGGCACAACCCCAGTGGGGGGTGTGCAGGAGGCAGCTGATCGATGTTTCTCTCTCATCAATGTTTCTAACTCTCTATCCCTCTCCCTTCCTCTCTGTAAAAAATCAATAAAATGTTTTTTTTAAAAAAAAAAAGAGTAGAGGGTATTAATTTTTGCTTCCTTTTCTTTTCTTTTTTTAAAGGTGAATGGAGTACTTTATTTTATTTTTCTTTTGCTTCCTTTTCCAAAGCTATGCGGTGGTGCTTTTAGGACTGATGACCTAGAATATATACGCAAAAGGCCTGTCTTCTCAAATCGACCCCAAAGAGCTGACTCCCTGATCCCAAACCCTTTTTGAACTGTGAAATGAGAAAAAAAGGAAACTTTCTTTGGGTTCAGCCACTGAAATCTGGAGGCTGTTTATTTTAGTGGTTAGCCACTGATTAGGTGTGTGGGGGAGATTAAACAGAGCCAGGCCCAGAACAGTTTAGGGTCCAGCACTTTGGATGTGATAGACAAAGGCAGACAATGGTAGTTGCTCTTTACTCCTAACGTGTATATGCTGCGAATTTGCAGACTTCTCATTCCCTGCTGGTCAGCCTCCCTCCAGTGTCCCCTAGACCTCTCTACCTCACTTCCTAAGTCCCCTTCTGCCCTCTGCAATCCCATACACACACACACACACACACACAGCAATGGCAAAATCTGGAACCTTGGCCTGAATATTCAGTTCATACTACAGAGATGAGGTGGGAGGCAGCAAAGCGACTTATCTTGTGAGTTCCCTGGCACAGGTTTGGCCTGAGGCTCCCAAATCAGTGGCATGAATTTCAACCTGTGCACATCCTGCTTCCCTACTAAGACTGCAACTTTTGTCTTGAAAGTCTTGTATCCCAATGACTGCCACCAACCGGGTGCTTACTAGTAATATGTGTCCTTGATGGAAATGGGGCAGGCACAGCTCAACAGGAATCAAAACTGTGCAAGGGTCACCAAAGGGCCGAACATGAGAGGGTCCCCTAAATACACAGGTGGTTATTGTTGGGTTACAGATCAAGAAGGAGGAGCGTCACATGGAGGGACAAAAGCAATACTCCATTTCCCCTGGAACTTTGCAGAGAAGATAGGGTTTTAGCAGATTTTACACGTTCAAAAGCTGTGGGAAGAATGCATTATTGAAAAGGGCATTTTCCTCCTGCCTGAAGAGGAGGAGGAGGAGTCATGAATCAACAAGCAAAACAGCGCAGCGGAGGGGACTGCAGTGGGAAGTGGAGAGACTGTGGGTCTGGATTCTGACTCTGCCATGTACCAAGGGCATGTCCTTGGGCACAGGGTGTCCTGTGCCTGAGCCTCCGTGTCCTCATCTAGACAATATAAAAGAGTGGTGAGACCTACTTCATCGAGCTGCTGCAAGGAGTCAATGAGATTATGCCTGGAAAGGGCCCGGCACAGAGCCGGGCTCAAGCTTCTATTGTAAATGCTGTGTGTGAGCAGATAGATGGTGAGCATCATCACTATACTGTCCAAGAGAACGCCAAACTTTCATAAGATCGCAGACTAACTATTCAGTTAATTCATCAGACTGATATGAGAGAGCAAAGTAGGCCATTCATAAATCTGTTTTGCAGAAGCCTTTGGCAAAATGTCTCAACAACTGCAGAGTCATTTAAATTCTAGTGACTGTGCCAATTCTATCTTAACATTATCTTTCTCCGGGATAATATGCCTTTTATATTAACTTATGTCTTAGATTTTTAATAGGCTATGTTGTTCAATCCTGGAATTTCCACCACAAATTTTAATTTCCTGTGGGTAATCTTAGCAGAAACTTTCTAAAAGAAGGGTGCCAAGACTCGGATCTGTTTTCTTTCTTGCCGAGTTTGGATAGATAGTTATAAGAAACTGCCAGGGAGGAAAGCAGGTGTGCTCACCTCCCACCAGCTGACTGGTGGCTGTGTTTTAGTAGTAACTATGTTTCATGCCAAGTTACAATCTCACATTTCAAGGGGTAAAGCGGATTGCAAATTATTCATTGACTATACCTGAAGTTGCATTTTTAGTGTTCCCTTCCACTTATCTGATGTCCACTTCTTACACAACAGTGTGTTAGTTATCTAGGCTGTGTAACAAATTACCCCAAAATGTAGTGGCTTGAAACAACATCTATTATCTTGGAGTCATTTCTGGGTCAGGAATCCACGTGTCGCTTAGCTACATCCTTAGGTTTGATCGGGGAGCTGGCTAGGGCTTACAGTCATCTCAAAACTCAGCCAGAAAGGATCTGCTTCTAAGCTCCCTCAAGTGGCTGTTGGCAGGCCCCAGGTTCTCACTGGCTAGTGGCCAAAGACACCAATGCTTGCCACATCAGCTGCTACAAAAGGTTGCTTGCTCACAGCATCACACCCTCTCCAAGAAGGAGAGAACCAGAGATGGAGAGAGGGAACATAAATGCTATAGACAGAATGTTTGTGTCCCCCAAAATTCCTGTGTTGAAACCTAACCCCCAAGATGAAGGTCTTAGGAGATGAGATAGCAAATTAGGCCTCTGGAAAGTGATTAGGTCATGCAGATAGAGCCCTCAAGAATGGGATGGGGGGCCCATGAAAGCCACTGAAAAAGCTCCCTGGCCCCTTCTGCCATGTGAGGACACACAGGAAGTCAGCAGTGTGCAACCCAGACGAGGGCTCTCACTAGAACCCAACCGTGCTGGCACCCTGATCTTGGACTTCCAGCTTCCAGAACTGTGAGCAATACATTTCTGCTTTTCATAAGCCACCCCGTTCTATGGTATTTTTGCTGTAGTGGCCCAAATAGACTAAGACAGAAAGCAAAACAGAAGCCACTCGAGTCTTATCAGAACCTAATCTTGGAAATGACATTCCATCACTTTTGCCATATTCTATTTGTTAGAAGCAAGTCATGAGGTTCAGCCCACACCTGAGAAAAGGGGAGTTCTGGAATCATCCCAGACCCGGCCTCCCGCACAGAAACCCCAGGAAGGCAGGCTTCTCAAGCTAATCCCACTGAAGGACCAGCTTGCTTTTTTTTTTTTTTTTTTTTTTTTTTTTTTTTTTTGGTTATGTTTTCATTTCTAATCTGTTGTAGGTCACAATTTTTGTAAAATAACTAAAAATTAATTTCTAGAAAAATAAAATAAAGACATAAAAAAACAACTCCATTGATCCACCTGTTGGATGTTGCAACAAGGTCAAATTGCTATAAAAATGTCTAAACAATCTTCATTCTGCTGCTTACCTCATCTGGACCAGATACAAATGGTTGTGGACTGCCATCAGTCTTGGGCTGTCTTTGGATCAGCGCCGACTAAGGATTTTAAAAACACAGATGACTTTTCAAGGCTTTTACATGATTTGCGCTATTCACTTGGCTATTCCTGGATGGAGGGCTTCTAGGGGAGAAAAAACAAAAACAAAAAACTAACCTCACTCCACTCTCTGTAGTCCTAAAAATGGGACCTTTTGTTACAATTAGAGTCTAGGGTGTGTGGGATGATGAGTCTCCAATTTAATATTTTACCCCGAAGTCCTCTGTGTGCCTCCTTTTCCTTTTCGCCGTCTGGAAGTTAGCATTAAGCCACACTTAACTGAGCGGTCCGACGGATACTATGATCACCAATTCACATTTTACAAGTCGGCCCCCTCACCAACTAATGTCAGAGATGAAGTTTGAATGCCCTTCCCAGTCTGTTCCGATCCCTCCAAACACCTCAGGCCGTGCTCTCCCTCGCGGAGGCATGCCGCATCTTTCCCTACCCTCCAGGTTTGTTTCTAGGTGTTTCAAACATCTAATCTTAATGAAACCATAAACTTACCGAGCAAAAGTACTCATTTCATACCCACCCCAGCCTCCAGCACAGCATCAGGCAGTTTAGCGGAGCCTCAGTAGAAACCTGAATTCAGCTGACATTTACCAGGCCCAGAACCCGAATCCCCTGTCCAGGGAACAAAGGGGTGTGAGCAGGGCTTCTGTCCCAAATCCCCCACATCTGGCCAGCATCTCTCTTCCTCTCTCTTCCAGCCTCTTCACCACCCCCATCTCATCCACCAACACTTAAAGCAGAAGCCAACTCTGCTCCCCTGGCTCTTCCGGGGCAAACTTCAATCTCCGGTGCAGTTACCACACTATCCCCAAGAGAGAGGAGAAAGCCAGGTGGAGGGAGGGGCCTTTAAAAACCAGTCGTGCTCAACTCCCTACACAGCTGCCAGCCCTCAGTTGGGCATCCCTTCCTTCCTCCCCAAGGAAGGGAATGAGGTGAATAACACCTGCATTTGCAAGCCCAGTGCAGGCAACTCTGCAGGCACAAAGGTGGGCCAAACGGGTTTTTTTGCCCTCGAGAATTTCCAATAGCTGAAGCACACCAATCCGCAACTAGAATACAAAGTGGAAGGTGCCTAGTGTTGCAATGTTGGCCTATGGAGAAAGCACCGTGGGAGAGCAGATGGGGGAAGTGATTAATTTCAAATGGTGCAAACTCAGAGGATGTATCTTTGGGTTAAGCCTTGGAGAATGGGTAACACCAATAATGGGTGACACTTGGAGAGAACTTCCTACCTACCAAGTGCTGTGGTTGGTGGTTGGCGTGCATCTCATTTGGGGCTCACAAAAGGCCTGTTGGGAAGGTGCTATTATTAGTCCCATTTTACAGTGAGTAAACTGAGGCACACAAAGAGTGAGCAATGTGTTCAAGGTACAGGCTAGTAAGTGGTGAAGAGGGTATGTGAGCTCATACAGGGTAACTCTAGAGCTGGTGCTCTGAACCCTCACTTAAGGAGAAAAGGAGACCACGAGGGAAGGCCTAGCATTGTGAGGAGTCTGTGAGGCTGAAGCAGGCGGGGAAGGGAGGTGCTCTTTAAACGCAATGGCAGCTGTGGAATCTATGTCAAACTCTGGACTTTATATATAATATTTCCTCTGACCTCACAACCTCTCTCTGTGACAGGTACCATTCTCCCCACTTTACAGATAAGAAAACTGAGGCACAGGGAAGTTAAGTAACTTACTCAAAGCCACACGCCTGGCAAGCATCCGAATCCAGGGATCAGCCTCCTGAACCCACTGCGGGAGCCCAGTGTTCTCGGGTGGGTGGCAGCCCTTTGCATGCTGCCTGTGCCTCGACTTGTCCCCCAGTCTACACATCCTGCCCCTTCCCCCGGGACTTCTCCCTGACTCCCGACCCCTCACTCCCACCCCCGCATTCAGCCTCGACCGCCCACCCTACCCGCACAAGGTTGGGAGCCACTGGGCGCCCACAACTCCTGCTCCCAGAAAGCTTTGCGCTCCCCGG